TTTACTAAATTTTGCTTTGGGATTGACTGTCTGTGGTGCGTATTTCAAACCAAAGGAAACTTCTAGAAGGCTTCCTCTAGATGGGGTAAAAAAAAATGTATAGGGAACATAAAAAACCCCCAACCCACTAGGTATTACAAATGTAATTTATAGCAATATTGGCACTGATTTTGCTTTATATTAGGCATGTAGAGCTTCAGTAAAAAATATTTTTACTTGCTTTTACTTCTTCAGAACCGGTAACCAAGAAACTGCCTGTAACATCATTCTTTTGGGGGGAAAGTGAATGAATTTTGGATACTGATTTCTAAAACACTGTATTTTATCTCAAATAATTGGTTTTGGCATAGAGCTCTGACAACTGAACATGGTGTTTATCACTTCAGCCAGCCACACCAAGGTCAGTGAAAGAGACCACTTTATATTTGACAAGGAAGCACTTCCACCAGATGCATTAATAGTGTGAGAGTAAGAATTATAGACACATGAAGTGACTGGGGAGTGCTGTGTGCCAAAATGAAAGTCAGATTCAGATCTAGATTGGGGTAGAATTTTCAAAGGCACCACAATGACCTAGAGATCATGTCACCAAGCGGTTGGGAGCCCAGCTCCCATTTTCAGAAATTACATAAGGACTTTACTGCCTTTCAGTGAGACTTAGGTTCCTTTTCCCAGAAAAAGAACCTTTAATTCACAATTAGTTCACAAAAGCAGTCTTTGCCTCTTCATAATTATATTGCATAATGACTTCACTACTTTTTAATAACATCAGATTTCTTGTCTGTGTCCATTATCACCAGCTTAGAAGCTATTCTGTTGCTTTGGGAATTTCGTATTCCAAGTCGCTTACAGAACTATAATTAAGAACTTCCGCAGAAGACCAGGTGATATATGTATGTTAAGATATTATATCCTGCTGATTTAGTGTCAAGTCTTAGATTAATTTGAAATTTTATCATGCTGGTTTCATTATAAATGCTTCCATGGAAAGAACATGTTATTGGAAACAGAATAATTAATAATCTCTATGTTAACCAAATGTTTTCTGAGAGGTTTGTTGAAAAATGTCAGGACTCCAGTTGAAAATCCTGGCTCTGTTGAAGTTAGTGGCAGAATTCCCATTGGCTTTAACAAGATTTTTCCTTTTCTTATCTCAAAAATTATTTGTCAAAGCTCCTTAAAGTTTCTGTGTACAAATTTATATTTGTGCAGTAGGGGTCCATGTGCCTTTTTGATCTCCAAAACAATTGTTTGCAGAATAAGGAGAAAGGAAGTAAAATGTGCAGTGACTTTTTTCAGTCCTGATCCTTTCGGCCGGTCTAAAGCGTACTCAAGAGAAATGTAACCTGCTGTCGTTTAGTGCCTTCTGAAAGTCCTGCCCTCCAGATCATGTCTGAATGAGATGGAAGGGGGAGAAGGATGGATACGGATCCATCTACTGTAGATTCACAAGCATCCATGAAAATATTCACGCTCGTGATTTTAGTGCTTATAGCAAACATAATTCCCAGTGGAGGCCTCTATTATGAGCAAATTGTTCTGCTCTCGTGATACTTAAAGTTACAGGCTCCAAATCTTGATGAAAGCAGAGCTTAATCCTCATAGTGTGTGTCACAGCATTTGGATCTCAGCGGAGTTTATAGTGTAAAGATCTGACCCTGTAAATTAGGACCTAAATACTACTGTTAGTTTTCATTACCATTGATCATAATATTGCAAAACTCCTTTGGGTTCAAATGGTGGTCATAATAAGCACATATGCAAGTTTGAAAGATGTTAAGCTTTAGACAGAAATTGTAGGCTTGCTACAGAATTTGCACGTGCCCAAATCCATTTAAAAGGCTATAAATGGAGTCTGTATGAATTAGGAATGTAGTTGACATAAACTTTTGTGGTCAATGAGCTTTCCATTAGATGATTAAGGCTCTGGAACATTGAATTACCTAGATGTTAACTAAGGCTAATGATTTGTTTTTCCCTCATCAAAACAACTTGCGGTAAGAAATTCCTTTGTTACCGAAATGCAACTTTTTGCAAAAGGAATCTGCTTTCTTCATATATCATCCCAACAATTACAAGTGTTCAATTCTTGGCTAGCCCAAGTTTGGTCTTAAACCAAAGTCCTGGCTGGCAAATTTATGTTAACTTCTTTATGTGGTATGATTTCTGGATAACTAGTTCTCTTCTTAACATAGCCAGCTGTTCCCAGGAAACAAAGCAACCTGAAACTTGACAAGTAAACCAAAAACTCTGCTAGAAAAGAGAATGCAATTTCATTTTATGCAAGTTATAATTTGCAGAACTCTGCAAATTATGCAGAATTTTATTCCCTGTCTTTATTCCCTGCATTTCCTGTATCTGGTAGTAACAGTCCAGTATCAAAACCTTCTTTTCCCATCCACCTCCAGATCTCACTGCAAAATGTTAAATGGGAGGAGGCAAACTAAGATATGGGCAATTTGAAATACGAATATTTCATTTTAGATGTTTCCTGGTATTCTTATTAATCATTTTCTTTCCATTTTTTTGACAGATGATGCTAATGAGGAAGGGACTGAGCTGAGTGAAGAGACAGGTGAGTAAACAACATTTTATGCTAAAATATATCACTTCTCCGAAGCATCAACCAAACTGAAATAATTCTTGAAACTATTTGGCTTGGTTGTGATAAGCAGTGCCAATCATTTATTGCCAATGTTACGACAGTCATCTCTGGGTTTTAATATAACATGGGGTAAACCATCCCTGATAATAAATAGTACACAGTAAGAATGGCTGAGACTACCTTTTTAATGTCATCATCTCTTATAAGCCTCTGGGTGATACTCTGTTGCTTTTTATTAATAACTGGTTTGAACATGAATGGGAAATAATTAAAATTCTGCAGTCACTCTGTCTGTAAAAAGGTGTGAATGCAGCAATTCTTGAGTCATTTGCAATTCTGATTAGTGGCCATGATTTGTTTGCAATGAAAACGGTAGCAAAACTCTCCCGCAAACTCTTAAATACGTTCAACTTGATTGGACAGTATTTCAGAGGACTTTTTTCCTGGTCCTCCTAGTTTGCTGTTTAAAACAAGTGTCAATGTTTAGGGTTTGTGGGTGTGGATAGACTTGAAATGGAAATGATGGATAGGTATAAAGGAAAGATGGGCCTGAGGAACAAGAAAAGGAGAGGACAGAGGATTAGATAGCTCCCATGAGGACAAAAGCTTCCAGTCAGAAGACTTCTGCCGTTTTTTTGTACAGACCTTCATCCACTTAATCTTCTTGATCAGGCTTTTTGTAACAGGCTTCCACCACAGCACCCTGTGTCACTTTCCCTGCTGACCTTCACCTAGAGGTTCTCAGCAGACATTTCCTGTTCCATAGGAGACTTCCGTGCAGTGAGGGACCTCCTTTTATATGCAGCATAGCTCCCCCACTCTCCTCTGCCTCTCCTTCCTAACCAGCTAGTACCCATCCGTGACAGTGCACCAGGCATGTGCGCTGTACCCCAAGTCTCTGTGACCCTGATCCCATCATAGCCCAGTGACTGTGCAGGAACTTCCAGTTCTCTTTACGAAAAGACCACGGGATCAGAAAGGAGAGCCACATGGAGAAAGGCAGAGACATAGCAGCCAGAAAACAGAGGTAAAAGCTTTTGAAGCAGTATGTTGGCTGCTTAAATTGGCCAGATTGTCCTAAAGACAAATTGTTTATGATGATTTATGCAACCAGTTAATTAGCTTAGAAATTAGGAATACTTGAAGAATGGTGTATATGCATAGATGTGAAAACATGGATATACACAGATAGATATGTGTTACACTGATGGATTAGCACATTCTTTTATGGCTGTTCTGGCCTGTTGATTTTATTACATATCATTATAATTACTTTTTGGTGTCAAGATTACTGGATAGGAACTTTTAGAAATTTTAATACAATTAGTGTGATTGATATAGTTGTACACACATACATAAAAGTAGAAAAATAAAGACTGTCATTATACAACAAACATTTGCCAAAGATTATCCTACAGTTGAATTTGCAGTATTCATCTAACATTTCCAATTTCATTTTTTACAGTTATCATGGCATGTATACTTTTATAAGCCAAATTATTTTGCATTTTTTGTCTCGTTGCTTTTACGGAAATTATGCAAATTACATTGATTTTTTTTTTTTTAAAGCATTTTAAATTAGAATTAAAAGGAAGTACATTTCTACTTAATAGCCGGTCTCTTCTTTCTTGCCTTGTATCTTTCACAGCTTCATTAATTTAGGTGAAGCTACATAGCTGCTCTGGGAAATTATCAGTGAATTAAGTAATTTGAGGAAGATATTTCCATACCTGTCTGTTTCTCTGTGCGTATGAGATAGATGAGATCATAGCTTCCCTCACGGGTTTGCCTGTAGGGTGCTTCAACAGCACATACTTGGTTATTTCTTATCACTTGGAGATATTTTGGGAATCAGTGCATTGATTTTCAGCAATCAATACCTACATGGCTAAAGAGAAGTATCTTTAGTATATCTGCTCCAGTAGTGGGGCAGATATACAAAAGTTATGCCGTTTTGACCTATTTGTATATGGACTTTTTAACGCTTGTAGGATGCATTTGCAGGAACTGTAAATACATACATAATTTCTGCATTGAGGAGAGTTATCATTTTTATACTCAGATTTTTATCGGTTTAAAGGATATCTGCTTTTTACTGTTCTAAGGGAAAAATGGAGTAGCAACTTCTAGTCACCGCTTAAAGATATTAATTGAATAATCATTCTTCATTCCACTTGACTTTGTGGGTCATGACTCTAGCAGATGGAGTCAGCAGTTGGCACCAATATTGATGACCCTGGTTTTTTGAGCTGTCCATATCCAATCTGCTCTGGGGTTATTTCTCCAATTCCTGTGCTTAAGGAAAAAAAAAAAGGAAAAAAGAAATGTTTGATTCCTGGAGAGCACATGTTGCAGACTACACACATGTGTAGGACCTTTGGCAGAGATTAAAATATTCTAAATTTCACTTAAATTCCTATGCCTCCAACTTCCTACTGCCTAGGTCTTCCTGAGGGCCAATATTGAACAAAGAGAAAACACAGAGAAGTATAGGGACACAAAGGAGATGTAGACTCATTGTATCTGTACCAATTTCTGTTTGAAGAATGTAGTAGACTGAGGTGGAGGTTACAGAATCGGTCCTAATTTAAACCCGGTGGCAAGAATTAGAGGAAAAAAAACTCATCCTGGTTTGGCGTCAGCTGAAGTCAGTGGGAATATGTCCATTGACTTCAGTGCACACCAGATTAGGCCTTGGGAACAGTTAGAGAATTAGCCAGGAGTAAGGAATAACAGATGACCAAATGTGTGTATTATTGAGTGATGGATACATTATGAAAGTAATCTGTCTTGTGTTTCTACCACCCTGAAGGACAAATATCTCATTACATGCAGAAAGGCCTTTCTTTCTATGATTTCTCTTCAAAATAAATAAGGGAATATCTTAATTACATCTGCCAGATAATCTCCATTAATATCTGCATTAATACTGTAAAATCAACAAGCAGGAAT